AAAAAAAAAAAAAAAAAAAATGATAGGCAGCTAACCAGGAGTGTTACCACTAACAATTAGAATTTTGCATTTGCATGACACATGATAAAGTGCTTGCACAGACATTTTCCTGCCCATCAAACCCTCACAATATGCCCAAGAAAGAGGGTTTATTATCCCCCTTCAAAAATGAGGCAGTGAGATACAGAGAAGAGACTTCCCGACACTCATTTCTAAAGCAGCAAACATCCCCCATCCTCTGATGTTGAGTTCAGAGCTCTTTCCCTCCAGCCACAGCTGCCTGCCAACAACAGGCACACCTGCGCCTCCTTAGAGCCACGTGAACCCCATTCCCCAATCCCACCTGGGAATGTCATTGACCATAAAGCCAAAAATAATTTACACGGATATGACCATGACAATCAGAGCCTTCCAGGCAAGAACTGCCTTATGATGCCCATACCCTCCAGAGGACAGGCAACTGGCAAACACCAAGTACATACTTAGAATTACAGGAGTTTGAGAAAGGATGCTTAAAAAACCATCTGTCATTTCAACATCTGAAAGACAGTAGAAAGTGGACCCTGCCATAACAGAGTTAGTTACTCTACAGACTGGTTTCCCACCTGGGACCAAAGCATATACCTTCAATTACCAGAACTCCAAGGCCAGCGACGGCCAGCCCTGTCCTGACTCGGCTGTGCTCATTACACCCATCTCTGGGGACCGACCTTACCCATGGGACCTACATCAGGATCTCAAGCATTTCAATCTCCTTTTCAAGCATTTCGACTACCCTTTGAAGCTCATTTTTTGGAGATGTGTATTCATCTGGCTTTTCTTCTATGCACTATTCACACATAAAATTTCCTCTCCTGGTAGGTTTCTCTTACATTATATCCTAACAACTCCCCATGGTAAGTACAATCTCTGCTCATCCGTTATTTCTAATAGCTTACAACGGCACAGTGAGCGCAGGTAAGTCATAGTTTAGTCATCCATTCTCTAAAAGCTGGATTTCTACATGGTTTCCAAATTGTTCCCTCCATTATAAGTAATGCTGAGATTCACCTTTATAAACAATAAGCCTTTTCTTGCATTTCTTTAGGACAGAGTCTCAGATTTAGAAGCACCAGATCAAAGAGAATGGCCCTTGATAAAAATGACAAAGGGTTATGCCAATTTACACATCCATCAACAGCACTCTTTTCAAAGACCCTTTAAAAAAGAAAGTTGACTTCCTAGGATGCCTACACAACTCAACTGGATTTATTTCTGTAAATTTTGGGGGTAAAGGAAGCCATGTGCTCATGCTCCAGAATCCTTTTAATGTAACTTATAAATTGCTCCTAACAGTAAATACCCCTTCTGAGGCCATATTTCCAACCAAATAATCCAAAAGCCTATGGTGCATGATAACAAATCTATAAACAAGTCATCTGGAGGTGGAAGGGAAGTGTTACTGAACTCTCTGCAGATGCATTTATTCAGGGATAACTTATGAAATTCAAGAAACTAAAGCTAAGCAGTTATCTTGGAGAGGATGTGGATATGGATTGTTTTATTTTATAAAGATGAAAGCAAAAATATTTTTCAATGCATAAGAAAACATACTAATTGGCTTGGCACCTGTAGCACAGTGGTTACAGTGTCAGCCATGTACACAGAGGCTGGTGGGTTCAAACCCAGCCCAGACTAGCTAAACAACAATAACAACTGCAACCAAAAAATAGCTGGGCATTGTGGCAGGTGCTTCCAGCTACTTGGGAGGCTGAGGGAAGAGAATCACTTAAGCCCAAGAGTTGGAGGTTGCTGTGAGTTGTGACACCACCACGATACTCTATCGAAGGTGACATAATAAGACTCTGCCTCAAAAGAAAACATACTAATTAATAATTAATGTCAATCAGCTCAGCGCCTGTGGCTCAAGCGGCTAAGGCGCCAGTCACATACACCTAAGGTGGCGGGTTCGAATCCCCAGCCCGGGCCTGCCAAACAACAATGATGGCTGCAACCAAAAAATGGCCAGGCGTTGTGGCGGGCGCCTGTAGTCCCAGCTACTTGGGAGGCTGAGGCAGGAGACTCGCTTGAGCCCAGGAGTTGGAGGTTGCTGTGAGCGTGATGCCATGGCACTCTACCCAGGGGGATAGCTTGAGGCTCTGTCTCAAAAAAATAAAATAAAATAAAAAATAAAAATAATTAATGTCAATCTTAAAAGTATCACCCCAATATTAATATATGGGAATTTTATGAGATCTACCCATCTTGTCCCCTACTTACATTTTTCACTGTGAAATCTCTGATGGTCCATTCTGGAAGAACCATTTCTGATGTCATTGCCACAGTTATGTCCCCATAGTCCTGAGCTTGCTTGGAGGGCCAGTATTCCTCACATTTGGTCTAGAATAAAATTGCATTTTTATAAAAAGATTCAGATGGTGCCATCTGCCATCACTGAAGCCTCACAAAGGATTCCAGATATTGAAAACTGGCATCAGGGACTGAAGCCATCCTGTGGTTGCGTTCTGTTTAAACCTTAGAATATTTTTTTTAATTTACAATTCCTGCCAACTCTTTTAAAATTGGGAATTTTCTCATAAAAATCTAGGTTTCTGGCTTCTCTTTAAAAATCAGAATTCAGAAGATTTTTTAAAACTCCAGTCCTTCATTTCTTCATGAAAACTAACTCAGAGTTGACACAGGCCCCCTCTGGCTCCCCCTGCCCCGTGGAGCAGCTACTCCGGGACTGCTCACTGAACTAATTTTGGACTGACCTGTGTCCCAAGGCAGCGAGAAGAAATGAGGGCCTTTCCTGACACTTTCAGATATATACCAGTTTTAATGCAAACACACCAATAAAGAGCATCAAATCTGGTCTCCATTAGTTTACATCATTTTTGTTTGTCCAACAGACATTTATGAGAACATTCCCTGTGTAAGGCCCTGGATTCAACAGTATTATAAACTTCATTTGCATTCATAAAATAAATGTCTTTTCATTTCCATAACAGCTTATTCTCCTAATGCAAGAAGGGGGCAAAGAACCCAACCCTCTACATCACCAGCAACATAAAGATGGGCCTCACCTCTATTGTCCCCTCCTCCTTCCCCAGCCCCTAGCAGAGGACTTTACACATACTGAGGGCTGGATAAACATCTGCCAGCTTAAAGTGAAATAAAGAACATTAAAAGAAATGATGTCGAGGGATTCCCACTATCACCTGGGAACTGGCAGAAATGCAATGCTGGATTGGAAATTGTGTGGGCAGAAATGCCCTCCAGGTGATTCTGATGGCTATTAAAAGCTTGAGAACCAGGGGCTGAAGGAACCAACTCCTATCTCTCAAGCAACAAACCTACATTTAAAAAAAATAATAAACTCATGGAGCAGCATTAGGTCCTATTCCTCGGGCATAGAATTTTTAAATTTAGCATGTGGCTTTCAATTCTCACATCCATTTCTGGAAGGAATTTTCTGGTGGGAGGAACTGTCCTCTCTGATGGGAGCAGCAGGGAATTTCAGGCCGCCCTGGGGGAGAGGCTGCAGAGACTTGTCTAGGGACAGGCCTGAGAATCTGCTGAGAGAAGGAGTTCCAGTGCTAAGAACCAACTTTGAAAATCAGCGGATTGATCAAATCTCTCATCTCACAGATGAAGCTGCTGGTTGCTTAGAGATATAGCGGGCCTGTCCGCATCCCCAGAGCGGTGGAAGGGCAGCTGTGGAGGACAGTGCTGCGGTGGAGGTCAGCACCGCAGTGGAGTGAGGAGCACCTCGCTCGGGGCCTGGGAGATTTTCCACAGCCCTAACCCACTCCCGCTACTTCCTAACTGCAGCCACAGCAGCAACTTAATAAACAGAGGACACTGATATTTGTCCACAAAGGGTAATGAGAAAATGGAATTTTTTTCTAACTCTTCTCGTAAGAGGGGGGGAAAGTTTCTAATAATAAAAACGCTAATGTTGGGGGGGAGTGTTTTATTAAAGAGATAAATGGTTTTTGAGACAACTTTCCTCCACAACAAAAATTGTAAAATTTGTTAAAAATTAAAAAAAGATACTTACCCTTCCCTGTTCAACACATTTGGTCAACATAATAATGGCATATACATTTTTCTCCCAAACCATACGCCAAAAGTCTTTTAAAGTGTTGGGTAAAGGTCCTTGTGTGGCAATAAACTCTTTCTTGGAGTGGTAGCCCTAAAAACAGAAAACAACACATATTCAACCCCAAAGAAACAGACAGCAAAGCCCTGAGGATGCCGTCAGAACAATGAGCCCGGCCCCCACTCACAGGCATGTAGTTGGCGTTGATGTAGTCATCAGTTGAATGAGTCTGGATGGAAAGTTTGACACGGGAAATCTCATCTAAAACATTAAAAGAAAGAAGGTCCTCAGTAGAAGCACATGTTTTGGTGTCTCTGTACCCAAGAGAGGGAGGGGGAAAGTATACAATAGTACCCCTAGGACTTGTGTCTCTGAAGAGGCACAGCCTGGCATTTCACATAAATGACCACATTTAATCCTCACAGTCGCATTATGTGTTTGTGGCACAGAGAAGTCAAGTGGTCACCAGAGCAGAGCTGGTGAGTGGCAGGGCCAGGATTTGAATAACTGGCGAGCCTGACATGAGGCCCCAATCTCTCAACCACACCAGACACTGTCTCAGATAAAATGAACCCGTTACTGTTAGCTTCTCAGGGGTCTGCCACGAGCCAGGGAATGTGCTAAACAATTTTATTTACTCTTCAAAACCATCCTATAAGCTTTTACTGTTGTTTTATAGATGAGGGAACTGAGGGTTGTACGGATTAACTGACTTTCTTCACATCCTTCTATCTGAAAAAGGGCAATCAGAATTCAAACCCCCTAGAGTAGGGTGGACACCAAGGTTAATCTTTCCACCCTGCCTCTATTCAAGTTGTTATAAAAGACAGTACCAAATTTAAGAATAAATTGAATGGGCTCGATGCCTGTAGCACAGTAGTTATGGCACTAGCCACATACCCTGAGACTGGAGGGTTCGAACCCAGCCCAGGCCAGCTAAGCAATAATGACAACTGCAACAAAAAACAGCCAGGTGTTATGGAGGGCGCCTGTAGTCCCAGCTACTTGGGAGGCTGAGGCAAGAGAATCGCCTAAACCCAAGAGCTGGAGGTTGCTGTGAGCTGTGACAGCACAGCACGCTACTGAAGCCAACATAAGGAGAGTCTATCTCAAAAAAAAAAAAAAGAAAGAAAGAAAGAAAGAAAAAATTGAATGTATAAAACAACTATGAGTGGAAGGATCCAAAACACAAAATTCTCCTTTTTTCCATAGTATCATCTCAAACACACACACACAAGAACTTTCCCACCTCAAGAAATGAAACATTAGAATTCCAAGTGTCAGCTCAGCACCCGTAGCACAGTGGTTACAGCAACAGCCACGTACACCCAGGCTGGAGGGTTCAAACCCAGCCCAGGCCAGCTAAACAACAACAACAACTGCAACAAAAAATAGCCAGGCATTGTGGTGGGTGCCTGTAGTCCCAGACACTTGGGAAGCTGAGGCAAGAGAATCGCTTAAGCCCAAGAGTTGGAGGTTGCTGTGAGCTATGACACCACAGCACTCTACAAGGGTGACACAGTGAGACTGTGTCTCAAAAAAACTAATAAAATAAATAAAAATTAAAATTAAAATTAAAAAAACCAGAATTCCAAGTGTCAGGCTGAGTCATAAGTAGTACCATCTAAGTTTCCCTGTCTTGACTACACTATTTCATCTTCACCTGGACAAAATAATAGAACAATGTCAAATCCAGTTACCAACATCTCAGTCTCAAGGCCTGAGATGAAATGAAAACATTCACCAAATCCCAAATTCCCAACTCTCAGGCTCTAAGACCCTCCACAGACATTCACAAGAACAGGCCCATACTTCAGAGTTAACCTTAGAAGGAGGGTGCTAAGGCAAGTCCCAGCAGCCTAGCTGTAAGGACGTTTCTCTTAGGCCCAATACCCCTTGTCAAGGACAGGGAAGAAAACTGTAGAGAAAGAACCCGGGCACTGAAAGACACTGCCTTTAAACACACATTAATGTTTTAGTCCAGGAAAGAAAAACATGGCTTAAAATACAAAAGACAGTGTCCTGATGTAAAAATTACTCGCGAAGCCTATCGACAGCCAAACCAGGACATGGGTGGGATCTACTTACACTTCTCTCTGTGCCCTAATTCCCACCCAAAAGAGAGACCTGTCATCCCTGTGGGTTAGAATGTAGGCATGGTAAATTCTCAAAAACAGAAAAGATTGTAAATATCATTAACACGTAGCTATGAAATGCGCTCAGCCCCTCAGACATGCGTCTGGACAAGCAGGCAGTGTGCCTCCCTGCCATTCTCCCTCTGTCCCCTCTCACTCCGGAACTACAGAAACTGAAATAAAGGGAATGTGAGACCAAAGGGTTAAAAGCACAGACTCCGGCCTTTTCCCTGAATGAGGCGGAAAGCCTGGTTTTGTCATTACTACCTGGGTGACCTTGGACAAGTCACCTGTACACTCTGTGAGCCATTTTCTTATCGGCGTTTTCCTTATCTATCATCTACTTTGTAAGGTGGCTGTGAGAATTAAATTAAATGCAATGTACCTAAACACAGCACTCGGCTCCCAGCAGGACGGCAGTGGCAGAGCCTGGCTAGTATCACTGGTTCCGTCCCCCCGCCCGCCCTGTTAGAGATGTGATGGTCAGGGACAGAAGGAAGGGGTGATGCTATAGAGATAAAATATCTTACAGGGCAGAACATTATTGTAGCGATTCTTCCCTCTGTTCTCAGCCATTTCAGCTGCATATTTAGGTTGATTAATTCCAACAAGCTTCAGATCCTGAAAACAAAATGACTTGTTTCATTATTTAGACTTCAATTATTATTCACACTGAGCACAAAGTGTGACAGAGCAAAGAGGGAATGCACAGGTATTACGGGTTAAACTGTGCCCTGAAAAGATTTACTGGGCCAGGGACTGTGGCAAACACCTGTAGTCCCAGCTAAGTGGGAGGGTGAGGTGGGGAGGATACTCTGAACCCAGGGTTGTTTGAGTCCAGCCTGGGCAATGAGACATTGCTCTTTAAAAAAAAATAAAATTAAAAAGTTGAATTTCTAACACCCAGTACCTATAAGTGGGATGTTATTCAGAAATAATAGTTTTTGCAGATGCAATCAAGTTAAAACAAGGTCATTCAAGAACAGGCTGAGCCCTTAATCTAACATGACTGGTGTCCTTATAATAGGTAAAGAAACAATGAGACACAGAGGGGGAGACGGTCATATGAAGATGAAGAGAGAGATCAGAGTGACACTGCCAGGGACAC